CCAGCCGTCTGTACTACGGGACCAATGGTAATAGGGGATTTGACAGGTGGGGCCGGGGGAAGGCACAGGCGACGAGGTCGAGTAGTTGTATGCAAAATAAAAACCATTGGGAATGCGCGGTTGTACTTTGAGTGGTTGCAAAATAGTTGCCCTAATTTCTAGACCTAACCCGAACACTAACTCCTAAATCTAACCCTTTACCATAACCCCAACCCCAACTGTATTATGTTCATCAGGTAGGGCTACGTAATCACATCATACCCATATTTTTTCTTTCTGTCCGGCCTAAACGTCAAGAGGTAAACTATGGCTTTGACAAATTTAGTTATATATGACTGGACATAAATGTGTGCCGCTACTGGTAAAGACGTCTTTTGTATCTTCACTCTTTTCCCGTCGAGAAACCGGCTTACAATTTGTTGTGTTTACAGCCTTGGTCAGGCTATTGTAGATTAGGTGTCCCTTGTAGCCGCTTAAATAGCACATTCGACAGCCCCGACATTAAACTTTAAATTACATTAAGTTTGAGACCACTAGCATATTCCGGTTACCAGCCACAACATGGGTGTCATCTTGAATCAAAGCGAATTAGGCAGTCAGCGTACATACTCAGAAAGCGTGAATTTGTACCAACAACATGCTGGGCTAGAATACTTATTCCTGAGATGCTTGACGTCGTAATCCAGCATAGCCCTCTCCCAATTGCAAGGGATCCGCACTTCAGTAAGGTCTTCTTACTCTCCTTAAGATTGGAATATTCACTGATAGTACTGGCAGCAAAGTCAAAATGATTACTTCGGTTTCACTGATTTGTGCTGATTATTTTTAATTACTTCTTGAACTAAGATGCCCGGCTAACATAAATCCTGAATACTTCTGCATTGTTGTAGATAACTAAGATGCAAACGTCCGTTTGGAAATAAATTTCTTTTATTTTTAAACGATCAATTAACCATTTTCACACTTTATTAAATGAAAATTAAAAGGACATTTTACGTTGTATAGCTGCCCTGTTTAGTCACAGTCAGTGCCGATGGATTTTTAGACACAAAAGAAAATACCATGGAAGTTCTCAATGCAAATGACATGAGAGAATAAAAGACAAATATTCTAAACCGAGAGGCACCCTCCCATAGCGCAAATATAAGAAGGAAGCCTTTTCGCAAAGACGCCAAAGTAAACGTTTTGAAAACGTTAATAGAACCGGATTTAATTTACGCATAAGTAAGCAGTGAAAAATAGGTTGTCATACCATTTTGAGAGTCAAAATGTCGTTGCCAACGTACTGGCGTATATGAAATGGTCTGGAGTTATCCTGCATGCAGCTGAATTTATTTCTTGTACTTCATTATAATGCGGTCAGCATTTCCTAGGAACTGTATGAAGAAAATGCCGGTAAGTTGACGAGCTGTATGCGAATGTAGGCAATATAGAGTTATTAACCAAACATTCTCAGATTGAGATCCATTAAGGGATTTTTCTAGACAGACGCGCTCTCACATTAAGTTTGGGGACCTATATAACGCCGCTATTAAATGCCAGAGCAGTCTGCATTACCTGCAGTATTATAACTTGTGTAAACTTGCAAGACAGAGATGATACCGAAACTACAGCCTAACGTCATTAAGTAATTGGCCGTACTGTTCATACATTTATTTCATGGCATTTGCTGTCATGTGGAAATACATATGGATTATTATTTATTTCAAATTTTGATTGAATAAATTAAATAGCAAATATAGGTGTGCACCAGTTTCGGTACACAAAAAAGTGGTTTCTATCGAAGAAACATTATCGATTAAAGTGGAAGATGTGAAAATAGTCGTGAGTCAATATGAGATAATATCACAACATTATTAGATGAACGCTCACTGATCGGTTACGTGACTCACTCGCACCGTTGTGTTTTTGGGACTCGCTCAACAGCCCCGCCGGAAGTCGCATAGCGACTAGTGTTATATTCAGAAATGTTGAGATCACGCCCTCTGCGCGATGACTCTGGCTCACAGACGCATAACACACGGTCGAAACAATCAAACAAGAAACAATACTCTCTCTCCCTCCTCCTCCTCCTCCTCCTTCTCCTCCTTCCCGCTGCCCCATTTCACATGCTGCTAGGGTGAAGCCGCTCACTGCGACAGCCTCGAATGTTCGTTCCCTGTTAAACAATCCTAGGAGCAACCGACCGGGAGAGAGGTTGACGCTAGTCGCTCGGGAACCGGTGCACCACAAGGTGGACATCGTCACATTCAGCAAGACCCGGTTCTCCGAACGAGGCGAACTAGAGGAGGTGGGTGCCGGTTACATCTTCTTCTGGAGCGGTCGTCTAAGGCACAGAGACGGGACGCGAGCGTCGCCTTTGCTACCCGGACGGCATCGTGAGACGACTGCCCTGTCTGCCGCAGAACATAAACGATCGACTGATTAGTCTCCGCTGGCCACTACGGGGAGTCAAATTCGCCACCATCGTCAGCGTCCACGCTCCCCCGATGAACAACTCTGACGCTGTGTTGAACAAATTCTACAAGGACCTGCACGCTCCCCTGGCGTTTGCGCCGAAGCCGGATAAGCAGATTGTGCTTGCTGACTTGAACACCGCGTCGGCACAGATCATGCTGCCTGGAGAAGAGTGCTAAGTTCCTATGGTCTCAACGGCTCCAATGACAATGGCCTATTCCTCCTACGAACCTGCGCACAACAATGCCACATCCGGACCAACACCTATTTCGACCTTCCGACGCGAGAGGAGGCGATCTGGGTGCACCCTCGATCGCGAAACTGGCACCTGCTGGATTATGTTCTCGTCCTGAGGCGAGACGAGCAGGACGTGCTGGTGACAAAGGCGATCCTTTGTTGCCGACGGATGGGCCGACCATGGCCTCGTCATCTCCAACGTAAGGATCGGCTTACGGCAACTCAGCTGACCTCAAGGAAAGCGACTACCGACTAAACTGAATACTATTTTGTTGAATGTGCCTGATCACCATCTCCATTTCAGCAATGAACTAGCTCAAAGGCTAAGCAATCTTCCAATCACCGCCGACGAGAACGCCTCCGCGGAGAACCGGTGGTGTCAACGAAGCCACACGATTCGATCAATCGCCCTAAATCTTCTCGGTAACGCACGTCGCCAACATCAGGACTAGTTTAACGATAACGACGCCGCCATCAGCAACTTAATCGCCGAGAAGAATCGCCTGTACAAAGAATACGTCAATCGTTTCACCGACGAAAACAAAGCAGCCTTCTATCGTAGTCGCTGCCTTGTGCAACAGCGACTGCGGCAGATGCAGGAGGTCTGGACGGCTAATAAGGCCGAGGACCTTGACCTTCCGCCCTCTCTACATGAAACAATTAAGACCGTGCAGCAGCTCTCCAGCGGGAAGGCAGCCGATTCGGACGCGACTCCTGCTGAGATCTACAAACACGGTGGTCCCTGACTTATGGAACATCTGACAGTGCTCTTCCAGGAGATGTGGCATCAGGGAAAAGGCCCCTAGTTTTCAAGGATGCCGCAGTCGTCCACCTCTACAGGCGGAAGGCAAACTGTCAAATCGGCGATAACCACCGAGGCATCGCCCTGATGAACATCACCGGAAAGATCTTCGCTCGCATTCTTCCCGACCACCTCAACAACCACCTAGAACAAGGTCTCCTGCCGGAAAGCCAATGCAGCTTCCGTAGTCATTGTGCAACCACCGACATGATCTTTGCCGCCCGCCAACTGTAGGAGAAGTGCCAGTAGATGCGGATCCACCTCCACTCTAACTTCGTAGATCTGGCGAAAACCTTTTACACGGTGAATCGTGAAGGAATGTGGAAAACCATGTGCAAATTCGGCTGTTCTGCGCGATTCAAACAGATGGTGCGCCAGATCCACTATGGCATGGTGGCACACGTCACGGACAACGGGGCCGTTTCAGTGACCAACGGAGTGAAGCAGGGCTGTGTCCTTGCGTTTACCTCTTCAATCTCATGTTCTCTGCCATGCTAATAGACACCTACCGTGACGAACGCCCTGGGATCCACATTGCCTACAGGACGGACGGCCGACTCTTCAAACAGCGGCGGATGCACTTCCAGTCGCGTCCAGTTGCTACCGTCCGACGGCTGCGCCCCCAACGCACCTCGGAAGGGGACATCTGAAGGAACATGGACCTCTTCGCCGCCGCCTGCGGCAACTTCGGACTAGTTATCAACAAGGAGAGGACGGTGGTTATGTATCAACTGCCACCCGATGCTGCCTATGCCGCACGCAAATCAAGGTGAACGGCGCCCAGCTGCAAACTGTGGACAAATTCCCATACCTGTGCAGCACCCTCCCTCACAAAAACAAAACCAACGATGAAGTGGCCAGCGGGTTTCCAAGGCCAGCCAAGCATTCAGCCATTCGCGAAACACAGTTTTGAATCGAAATGGTCTCCGAATCAACACCCATCTGAAGATGTACAAGGTGGTCATCCTGCCGACTCTCTTGTATGGAGCGGAGACCTGCACGTTGTAAATAAACAGGCGCAAATATTCAACTTATTCCACCTCGTCTGTCTCCAACGGATATTGAAGCTGAGGTGGCAGGACCGGACCCAAAACACGGAGGTAGTGTAACAGACAAGCGGGTCAACTGGGAGAATCTCTTCGGGACCGAAGATCACCGTCCTGCCAGTGAAAACCGGCGCAGGGATCTACGAATCCAAACGTATCACTGCTGCCAAAGCCAAATGCAATGCTCGTAAATCCCAACTGTCACTCACAACCGCCTCGCCACGCCAACAATCAACCACCCCGACCTATCTACAATGTCAGCGGAAATTTCGGGCGCCAATCATTTTCGTTGGACATATTCGTACCAAATGCAACACCCCAACGACCACCCGCTGTCCCCTTGTCCCTTTTTTGCTTCGCCTTCCACACCGACAATCAACACTGACCGCACTCCTGAACGCCCACTGACATCCTGCTCCGTCAGCTTAACATCTGCTGCGACAGCTTTTTCACCCACCGTCATTGCACTCAATCCTAACGCACCAACAAACATCAACCTCCCCACCATCAACGCCGGCGATTTGGACTCCGTCCAGACCTGTCCTTATTGCGATAGCACATCCGCCTCACACACCGGCCTTGTCATTCACTTGCGAATCCATCGCACAGAGACTGGCGATCCAATGCCTGGAGCACCAACACTCACTTGACGCAACCGCCTCAACCGCCCACACTGCATGGACATTCTAGGCACATGCGCAATCCCGAAGATCTGCGGTAGACTACCGTCGGCCATACCACACCATCATTTATTCCTCCGCCCACCTCGCGCGACATCATCCACCGTGAGAATCCTACTGTAACATCCCACACAAGCACGAAGTGTGCGTCACGGCTCCGTCTTCATGCGGCTCCTCTGCTGCGTACGTGAATCGAGTCTGAGGCTATTACGGAGCGTCAAGCGCTGTGGCTTGGAAGGTTGCCGACTGATGCCTCAACTCAGTCCACGTAGTCTACCCAGTTGTATGCGTTTGTGTGAAGTGGCGGACTGGTGGGGTTAGAGGCAAACTGCAACGGCTCACCTTTGGCACTCTCACGCATGTGAAGTGTGTGGCGCTCATGCCCTAAATTTCTGGTGCTCCTTTTTGTGGGACCAGGTCTTGCATTTGCTCACGCAGACGAAGTCAATAGTTATGTCAGCCATCGCGCCCATTCCCCGCACCTGTCAACTAACCGGCTCGGACAGTGACTGGGGCCTGGGAATAGGAAGGAAGAGTGAGGTCGAAGACAGCGCATTTTCATCACTATAAACATTCTGACGCGCTTGAATCTATCACGGTGCGCTAAAAGCTGTGGCTTGGAAGCTTGCCAACTGACGGGATAACTTGGACCTCACAGTCGGCCAAGTGCTGTGTGTGTTTGTGTGGAGTGACCGACGGGTGGTCTGAGAGTCAGGCTGCAATGGCTCTTAATGTGGCCTTCATGCCACTTGCACTATGTGGGATCCCAGCCGGTTGTGGGCGGCACGCCCAGGTGCGGCTCTGGTCTTGCCAGCCCCTTTTGCTTGTGGTTAAAGTCCTGATGCTGAGTGGAGCTTCAAGGTGCGGGTTTGACCGGACCGTGCTATCCACCTGAGCCCTCCCCCGCCACCGGTCTTCTTGACTTTGTCTTGACGCCGACTCTAGTTGGGGGAGGAGGACAGAATGCGTCAGATTCTGCACTAGTAAACTATAAACCTAAGCATATACTATAAATATATATTACGTGCAAGTCACTGTGCCTGCTTGACCTTCCTGTTGAGCACACGGTGGATATGTTTTGCTGCGAAGGTCGAGCAGTTACTCAGAAGTAGATTTGTAACAAAGACAAGGGAGATTCCTTTATTGTTGCTGGAGATAAATTTTTTAATATCGTTAATCGTGTTTGTTTTTCCGATCCTACCGGACTCAGAGTTATGATTGCTTTAATAAAGGCAGAATAAATCCGAGACAGCACTGTATCAATCTGTCCACATTCTCCGTCTTTCTTTTCCTCTTCTGTAATAACTTAGCCGACCTTGGGTGTGGTAGTTGATTTCCTCATGGTGAAATTTTCCACCCATATGGAGCTTGTTTGTTTCAGAGGCCGAGAAATCATTGCGATCCCATTCCTGATTGAATAGATAAATTGTTTCTATGTTTCACCAGTCTTTTTTTTCGTTCCTATGTACACCTGGATCTTGAGCAATTACCTCCTCAATATGTGACAGAGAGTGCCATATCCTTAGTGGTGCTGCTGTTTGTGTCCTCTAGGGGTGAACGCGTAGGCAGAGGCTTATAAACGTCTTCGGATAGTCATTTGACAGGAGGTGGTCGCGGTGATATCGGACTTCACATGCGTTTTCATCCGGTTTGCTGCAATGAATCCGGATCCGTCTAGAGTCAGTGGATTGTTGCTGTAAAAACTAAGAAGCTTTGTGGTGTTCCTTACTATCCTACAGACGGCCGTCCCAATTTCATAGTTAGAACTTCACTCGACAAGTACATTAGGAATGGCAGCTGCTGCTCAGTATTTAGGAGCATTGGATTTCTAGAAAACAGGTCGCAGGATCGAGTCCCAGGCCTTGCTCACATCGGGGTTGGGTGTGACTGACTGATGACGGCCGGTGAGTCAAAAATGGCCATTCCAGTCTCCCTCGTCTCTGTCGGCGATGCCATTCTACCGGAGTTAAGCAGGTTATGGAAATTCTGCAGCATGTCGTTTCTTACAATAACAGACATGTCATTATCTTACCGGCCCCAAAAGACCGTCTCATGCTGAGTGAATGAAATCTTTTCTAGATTCCGTAGGACCAGTTCTGGCACTAACCCGGAGGCAGATGAACCTGGGCAATGAGCTTAACTTCGTAACCACCAAGACAAACACCGCCTCCAAAGACAAGACGGGTCAAAAGTTGAGTAAGGCCTCGCCTTCGGATAAAAACTTAGTTAATCGATGTATCTATTCGGCGCCGACATACCGAATCCTGAGCAGTCACATAAAGTCCTGTCTCATTGATAGACAATCGGTTAATCCTCCTGTAACTGTCGCTTATTCTCTTGTTGCTACAACCTTTAGCGATGGATTCTTGCACGCGTTCGATAGCTCAGAACTATAAACAAACTGTTCAGGTGCTCGATCAGTCTTCTTTATTCCGATCCATTTCAGATCACTACCCTTTATCTTCAAAGCCAACCGTAGTTCTAATGCAAGATTTGTATCTTTGAATGAAGATTATTTGTCTTCTTATTTTTCTATAAGTATTAGAGGCACAATTTATTTTTTAAATACAGGTGGTCTAACTTAAGAAATGTATTCAACATTTATGTGGGAAGTATTTCATAGGTTTGGCGTTGTTACTTGTGTTTTTTGAATTGCCTTGGCGCACAGAAAGTCAGTTAAGTGCATTGTGCTGTAAACGATGATTAATAAAAACAAGAAAAGTTCGAAATAAATCTTTTCCGGGAATGCAGAATTCGAGTTTGCTTCCATGAAATTCAGGTGAGTGTGGATATGAGAAATTGCCTTATTTCCAGAAAAATAACGAACAAACCCAGCTTGTAAAGTTCTGCTTTATAAATTCATGGAGTTTCGTGCTATAAACATCAGTAATAGACTTGTTCGACTGTAGTTTTTTTACCATACTGAGAAGTTCTATACGTAAAGAAATTTATATTGAATACCTGCGATATGCTGTCATCGTTCTGCGTATTGCAATTTTATGAAGGTGCCAGACAGTTCCTACCAACAGCTGACTGCGAAAGGATAGGGAAAATAACGGCAAAAGGGTTGTGACATGAGTTGTAAGCAATTATTCTCAGTATTAGCAAGGTTTCTCTATGGCGAATAACTGATGATAGAACCGTGCCCAGAAATACGAATAGTGGACTAAAATAGTTTACAAGTAAAAAAAGACTACGATTATACCCGTCACACATTAAAAAAGATCATCGCGTGCTCATTAAGACTATCTACAAATAAAATCTGTCGATGTTGTCCGTAAACATAATTGGAAAAAGTATGTGAGAATTTGAATTTTATCAAAAAAAGCCATGATCAGGCTGCTATATTAGACAATTTATCGGAAAACGCTCTTTATTTGCTAAAAAGATATTAATTACCGGCCCTCCTTCTAGAAAGGTACTTACTTCAGTGATTAGGGTTTATATTTAGAAAGCGCTAGAAGTCGATCCGGATGGTCATTTGTGGAAAGATGTTACCAAAGGAGCATACTGCGCCAATGAAAAATTTCAAGAATTGTCGACGGTTAATGGAATGGCTGGCTATTAAATTCGGAGAGCCGCCAGTCTGGCGGTCGACTATGGACACGTTCAACAGCAAAGCGTTCGTCAACACTATGAAAGATGATTCTGATTACAACGAAATCTACCGACGACGATTGAATGCCATAATTTTGTGCGACAGTGTCTTTGTACATTGCTGTAAAGAAGTGCCGTAGGCGTGCTATCTCATGAAGTGTTAACCAAGATCCCAAAATGTGTTTTTACCCTGAAAATATTACTTACGTAGAGTTTCAAAATCAATCATCATGCAGCGTGATTCTACAATAATTCAGTTACCTCGAGATGCCGGCTTTCTAGCGAACGTCCTTTTGGCTGCATACAACAGCTACAATCTGTAAAAATGACTATTTCAGTAGCATGAATTTTTCTAATTGATTTTCGTTCTCCTTAAACATTCCGTTATATTTCATGGAAAACAACTATAAAGACATTCATACTTTTTCTTTTCGGTAGGGAATTTCATTTTCAAACTTCATACTATAAGAATGGATTGTAATGGCTTTTTAAAAAGTTCCTTATTGTGTGATTGTTTAATACCGTAAAGAGCTTTTTCATAAAACATCTTGTCTTTGCACTTACCACTGTGGCCTGTAAAGTTTCCAATAGGGCTTATATCCACTGTTTAATTTTATAAACGCCTTATGGTCTCCTTTTATACCGTAGAGTAGCCTATGGTTTCCTTTGCACGGAAAATATACGGCATTCGGTTTGGAAACCCTGAATACAGGGGCGACGGCAGGTCGGGTTCAAAAACATTTGCGAATTGGAAACGTTTATGAAAACTAAGTCATACCTTTCCTTCGAGCATAAAATTGCAAGATGTAATTTTCTACCGAACGAATAAAAGGATGAAGATTGTTATGAATGTTTTCCATGAAGTATGATTGAATATTTTAAAGCATCTTAAGTCAGTGAGAAGACTTCATGCTTATTTAGTAAATATTTTTACAGAGTGTGGCTTTTGCATGCGACCGCAAAAATTGTTCGAAAACCGGCATCTCGTGTTAATGGAATTATCATGTGATTATAATGAGAATTGATTATTTTTAAGAACCCTTTTTAAGTAGTTTTTTTAAGACGAAAATTTATTTCAGATTTTTGGCTAGCATTTCATGAGATAACACACCTACTGTATATCTCTGATAACACTTGCGACTGTAATCTGACGTGCTAGACAACAGCCAGTTTCTCCGCATGTGGCCTTCAGTCGATTTCTACTCCTGCCAACATCCTGAATCTCATTCCGATCGAAAATGTTTTCGCGTCTATTGAAAGACCTTGACACAAGTGAAATAAGGAAACTTTGATGCGAGAAAAGCATGACTTTTCCCCAGATAATCACGTTGGAAAATCCATTATAGAGTATCTGACCATCTGCATGTCTGAGA